TGAGTGGATGGGTGGTTGAGTGGATGAATAGGTGGGTGGATGGGTGATGGAGGGTGGGAGGAAAGGACTAATCAGTTGCACATCCTTAATACCATCATCCCAAGTTTCCTTACCTGTTTAACATATGATTTACCAATCCCATCAGTACAACCTGTCACGACTAATGAGAAAAAGGTACATGAACAGTCTGCAGCGAGCCGGGGCTAATAGCGTGTTTAATTTTCCATGGTCACAAGTTCTCGCTAGTATTTCCACATACATAATCTATTCCTTGCATTAAAGAAAGCTATAAGCCTAAAACCCCCCTTTCCATTGCACTAGCATTAGTACTTTAGTAATTTTTTCCCCTCAAATTTAAGTATACTAAAAACATGATTTTTATACAGAGACCACAGTTGCGTAAGAAACATATATACCTACCGGCCCAGCTGCCAAAACTACGCTTGAAATTCTTTTTAAAACCCAAAGATGGTAGAATAAATGTCCTTATGCCTTGTAGGACCTGAAGTCCAAAGTTAAGACCGTGATAAGCGAGGAAAGCCGCTCCAACAACAGAAAGAACAGAATCTGCCATGTTTCTTGTCAACCGGTCGAATCGCATACGTACAGGAAGCCCAAAACTACTAGCACGTGACACCACAGGTACCCCAAATATCTGGGTTTGCTCTATAAAGCGTTTGCACGGTCTGCTGCACAGCTGAGGTGCAAAAATTATACGTTTTTGCGGATTCCATTCATTTCCGATCTTATGATGAGGAAATTTTACCAGAAGCTGTGAAGTGCTCTCTGGTTGATAGCACATGAAAGGCAGTGTTTGCCTGTCATTGTAGGCTGGTAATGACAGCTGATTGATACCAAGCAATAGAGCACTCTCTGGTTAATTTCATCTTACAATCAGTGTTTGTCTCGCATGGTGTGCAGTGTTTGTCTTTCATCGCAATGTTCCACTGTCCAAATCAAAGATGTTGAATTTAAAAACAATCCATTTCAACGGTATTATCGCCTACAGTCACGCATCAAAAACAATTTCCGGCAGACCAATAATTCAACACCTCATTCATTACTTAATATGACTAATCTTTATTTCCTTTTCTTTTACTTTAATAACTTATAGACAAAAAGAATGTAAAGGAATTGTAATATGAATTAGTCATCATTAACAATGCCAAGAAATATGTTTTCATAATATTTTCATTATTGACACAAATTGTGGTTGGTGAATTGATTGTTATTAACGTCTAGAAATATGTATTAATAATATGATCCACATTAGGAGCTGGACATTTAATAAAGCAAGAAGGAATGGTGGGAAATGAGCAAGCTATGTCTGAATTTTCCTAAATCTCTCACAATCATGCCTCCCTGTCTACTTGTAACCAATGTTATTCTCATCTTGCTTGCATACATTTGCCATTTCCCCGCTCCTTCCACTTTCTGCACCAGCTTCTCAGGTCCCTCTAACTGGTTTTGCAGGGGCTAATCCAGGGATGGTAAGAGGGGTGACTAGTCACCCCCCCTTGCTCAAATTTCTCAGTATATCAATAGTAACAGTCACCCCCTTTTCCTTGAATATCTGGTAAAACCTTTGTAATTGTCACCACCCTTCTAAAATTCCTGGATCCACCCCCTGTTCTGTATTAAATACTATTAACATTAATATTATCTTAATGATATCATTAGACTAATGGCAGTCTAAATAACGTATTAATAATTATATATTCTAAATTATTACCAAATATTACAAAAATATATTTTTTTGCAGTTTTCAATATGTTTTCTTGGTTGGTAGAAAGTGTAGGAGATATGAAAGAAAGTAAGAAATGTGTCAGATATCAAAGATGAATCACAAATATATCTCAAAGAGAGTATGGAAAGTATCTTTTATCTACAAAAATATCTGTTTATTTAATAGAAAAGTTAGAAATCTTATGGGCATTTATCTGACTAGTGATTTTCATGAGAGATACCAGATATAGCCCATCCTACTCAACACTCAACTATCACCCCATGTATCCAAGCAGCTCTTTTTCATGGGTAATTATTGAAAATACTTTTATATGATATGCCAGTATATAATGTAATAAAGGTATTGAAGGTTATAATGTATAATACTTCTTAATAATTTACATAATATTTGTCATGTTTTACGAATATTTTTTGTGGAATGCCTTTTCTGGTAACAATTCCAGAAGGTGGATGGATATATATATATACTATATGTACTCTTCTTGTAAAGAATGTGTTGTAAGGTTTTTGTTGTTAAACTTGTACTGATTGTTTAAGGTCTTCAAGCTGTTCCTCTAGTGTTCCTGTCACTCTCCATAATCGTACCAGACGATCGCTTCAAAACAGAAAAAGCAGCTGTTAGTGAAGTTTGAAGCATTTTCCATGGTTACTTAAAATAGATATATCAAATTCTTGAGGGAAACCTCTTGGAGGATCTATTTTTGGACAAACTTGGTAAGCAAAGGTTTCAGGTTTGAGGAAAAGAAGATTAATATCTGTTGTAAATCCATGGTTTTCCCACAAATTGAAAACAAGCAAACAAAACATATATTTTGCAACATATTATCATGCGCTTGGCACATGAAAGCGTGTTGTGAGTGTTACCTTGAGGCAGTGAAGACACATGATGAATTGGTAGTGATAGCATTGATGGGATGTCTGTGTGCCTTGACTTCACCTATAACAATCAAAAAAATAAAATTGAAAGAGTACTTTAAATATCACTCTTTATTAAGTATTAACATACTAAACAAAAAGCTCAGTATAAGTAGACTGGATGGCGTACCCTCAGTAATGGGAGACAAACCATAATGAAATTACATTAACAATAATGCTACGGTAGTGCTATTGACAGATAAATGTTAATGGATGACAAGTAAAAAGACTTACAGATCTGCTGACAAGTGTCAGACTGCCATAGTTTAAGCACTCCTCTGCGACATCCACTTAGTAACACGCTACTTTGAGGTAAGAAATCAAGGGCACATATCCAGTCACTGTGAGCTCCTATCAAATGCTAGATAAGTATAGCAAAATCACAGTTAATCGGGGAATCATGACTTTGATCAACCCAGAGGCTGTTTTATGGTATCGATTAAATTTGAAGGTATTTTTTATGCAGTCTCCTCTATCCCTACTATTCCCTCAAAAGTAAGAGCACTAATTTGCTGCTATATTATTAATATAATCTTTACTTGTTGCAAATCTTGTGTCGTGTAGTCCCATTTCTTGATGCTGTTATCTCTTGATCCACTAAAAAGAGCTGTTCCTCTTATACTCAGACACTGTACACCATCATAATGAGGGGGTTCAAGCTTGTACTTTGAAGTCTGTGCAAAAATAAAAAGTAAAATAATAAATGAATGGATGGATGGATGGATGGATGGATGGATGGGTGGGTGGATCAATGAAAGGATAAATGGATGGATGGAGTAAATGGAATATGGGTAGGTGGGTGGAAAAATGGTACAGGGTATATAGTAAAAGTTGGGGGTTGAGATGAAAGTGAAAAATAATTTCCACAAACCTGTACTCCAGCACTGCCTTCTCCAAGTTCAAATATCTGAAGAAAGAAAAACAACAAATCCTTCAAATATTAATAAACATTTTAAAAATGGAAAATATGATTTTGGTACATACCTTGATAAAGTGGTCTCGTGAGCCAGTGAATACTAGGGTATCATTATCTCTTCTTCTCTCCAGTACAGCCATGACAGGGCCTGCATGACCCCCTAATTTACCTGTCATAGAATACCTGTACAACAATAACATGCACAATCATTGAGTATGAGGACTTATCTCATTGTAACTATGTTTCTAACATTTCCGAATGTGATCAAATTGACATTTGACAATGACAACCACACCACTTAACCATCCATTATATCATCCATTGAATATTTCCATTTATTGGTTCCCTGGCCAAACACAAGACATTAAATTTAGGCTGCAAGGTATTTCTAAAATATTCTCAAATTTGAATGTCTTATTTTAACTTTACTGGGGTTGGCTAAGGTGTCCTTTTCCTTTCTCACTTGCTTAGGCAAATTTCAAAATAAATGAATGAATGAATGAACAAATATACAAAGGAATGATTGAAAGAAACAACCAAGAAGCAAACAAATGAATGAATGATTGAATGAATGAATGAACAAATGTACAAAGGAATGATTGAAAGAACAACCAACAAGCAAACAGATGAATGAATGAACAAATGAAAGAACCAAACTTTGCAGTATCAATTGAATGCTTAGTGTACAGAATCAAATGAGCCAGAGCACGGAAAAAGCTCAACATCCACAAGTGCAGAGATTTAGACCAGACACATGGTATTGTTCTACTCACATTTTAAGGTCCCATATCCTAACAGTATTGCCCATGGCAGCATATAAAGATGTTGCTGTTGAGCTGATCTGAAGATCATTTATTTGTGTGTCTGAGGTGATGCCAGAGATGAAACCACTGATAGATGATCCTGTCTGTGGGCTCAGGGTCTTGATACATTTACCTGACTCTTGCCGCAAGTCCCATAACTGAATGAATAAATACAATTATGAACATCAATAAATAAATAATACTGTTCTGTGACACCTTGATGCTCTTTTTTGCAACATGGGATGACATCCTCACCTTGATAATGTTCTGTGATACACTGTAAAGGATCTTGGTTAGTTTACAGTAGCGTACAGCTACTACATCACGCTTGTGTCCTGATAGTGACATTACTTCCTCCCCTGTGTTGAGGTCCCATACTTTGACTGTTTTGTCTGACCAAAGGATTGGAACAAAGAGAAGAAATAGTGTAAGTATAATGCTCATCTCTCTAAGGATCGGAATACACCAATTTCAAAACTGGAGCTAAAGAAGTGATAACAAGCGATAAGAGATAGGTAATTCCAAAATCCAAGAATAGGTGTGTATAGACCTAATTGGCTAACGTGTTGCTATAAACGTTTCCACCCAATTCAAACCACATGGGAGTAAGTTTCATTGTTCATTATATTTTGGTTTCAGAGTTGAATTCGTAGAGACAAACGCTTCTATTCCCAGAAGGTTTGAATTGGGTGGTAACGTACATAGCAACACGTTAGCCAATTAGGTGTATTGCAAGGAATATAAGAAACCCTCAAAAGTTCAGTAGTTTATGATTGTTTGGTTAACGTACCTTTAGATCCAGTAAACATGTAATCATCAGTCACATCAACACTAAGGACTGCACTGTTATGACCAGTAGCTGCATAGGTACATACCAAGGCTGATGGTTTGCCTGTTGGGGGGCGAAGAGGTAACATTCTACCCCTATAAATCACACAGTAAGTCAGTATAGTAGTATTTCTATTTTTAAAAACAATGTACCCAAAAAATGCTTTTTAATTTTAAAACTCTAAAAAGTTAGAACATGGGTATTTCACAAATTGAGTTTGAATTTAGCTTGTTAGGTGTTACAGAGAGAGAGGAAAACTGGTGAACCCCCCAAAAAAGAATCCTCAAACCAAGGAAGAAACCTAACAAACTTCACACATGTGATGCAGAGTCAAACCTGAGACCCCAGAGGTGAGAAGGGAGTGTAGTACTGCTATACAGTATTATTGTCAGACTTACACATCAGGATCAGTCTGGAGTCAAACATGAGGCCCCAGAGGTGAGAAGGGAGTGTAGTACTGCTATACAGTATTATTGTCAGACTTACACATCAGGATCAGAGTCTGGAGTCAAACCTGAGACCCCAGTAGAGGTGAGAAGGGAGTACACTACTGTTACACAGTATTATTGTCAGACTTACACATCAGGATCAGAGTCTGGAGTCAAACCTGAGACCCCAGAGGTGAGAAGGGAACGACTACTGCTACACAGTATTATTGTCAGACTTACACATCAGGATCAGAGTCATTCCCCAGATTACTTGTCAATCTAGAAAATACATTCTCATTCTTCTGCGAGCCACCATCATCATTACCAATATCCTGGTTCCTGTCAAAGTTTTTTCTTGACATGGTTGGCGAAGAAGGCTGTGATTTAGGTTGTTGTGAGGTAGCTGGTGATGGACCATATTTAGATGACTGATAGTTCCTGGCTGATTTAGACCTTAAGTTACCCCGTACAAGTGATGCAGGTAGTGTCTGATATCCAGCTGGTATAATATCCTTACCATCCCCCTCTTGTGACTGACTTGTATCACTTATTGATTGTATTATTGATGACTTCACATTACCATTCATCGCCCTATTGTCATTAGCATCTTTCCTTGCTTTGTCAAGTTCTAATAGTTTTTGCATAAGTTCAGGTGAGATTTGTTTTGATGGTTTGAATTCTGTAGCTCCTGTTGGAACTAGAGGTCCATTGGTGTCATCATTGTCTTTCAGGGAGTTGAGGGATGGGGATTTCTTTGCTTTTACTCTCTCTGGATACAGGAAGTCTTCACGACAGCCAGTACGGCGACGAGCCTGAATATAAAAACAACATGCAGTTGAATTTTCACATCTTAACACATGATATAATTCAGTGCAAACCCCCCCCCCCCCTTAGTGTCTCACATTACACATATATATTGTCATACAATGCACAAAGCTATCAATGTCACACAAAACATCAAAGAAGTGGACTGTCACACAATGCACCAGGGTGGACTGTCACTCAATACATCACCAAAATGAACTGCCACACAATACATCACAAAAGTGGACTGTCACACAATACGTCACAAAAGTGGACTGTCACTCTACATCACAAAAGTGGACTGTCACTCAATACATCACAAAAGTGGACTGTCACTCAATACATCACAAAAGTGGACTGTCACACAATACATCACAAAAGTGGACTGTCACACAATACATCACAAAAGTGGACTGTCACACAATACGTCACAAAAGTGGTAAATAATCTAGGATACCTTATCACGAGACTTAGATGAGCCACTTCCACTAGACAAGTTCCCATCATCTGTTCCTCCTCCTAAGGAATGCAGGCTTCCTGTTGATAGTCTCAGCAGCTCATTGACATTATTCAAGGTCACTGGATCTGCACCACTTGCCAGGTTTTCTGCACTAAGTGACCTACCTTGTGCAAGGACATGACTGAGCAATGTTTGCTGGATGGTGTTATGCTCTTTGGTTATTTCAAGTAATCCTTCTAGTTCTTTGATGGTTGCTTCTTTAGCAGATATTATTTGTCCCTATTTGTATTATTGATAACATGGTTATTTATAGAATAACATCATCATCATCATCATCATCACAATTACCATCATCATTAACATTATTAACATCAACTTCACCACTACCATTTCATCACCACCATGATTATCATCACAACCCAGATTATCATCACTTTCATCATCATTACCATCATCATCATCATTACCATCATTATCAAAGTCAAGGACATCATCATCATCAGGCATCACTGCCATCATCCTCATCATCATCATGTTCTCATGACCATCACCCATATCACCTTCATGATCGATATATATACTTACCAGGGATATAATGTTTGAAAGAAAGTGAGTACTCAGAGCTCTTGCTTCATGTAACATGCATGACGAGATGAGTTCATTCAGTTCTGTTGTGGTATTACCAGGATCCTATAACAATAACACACCATTTATTTAAATAAATACTTTAAATAAATAAATAAAATAAGAAAATAATAATAAATGGAATGAGCTCTTTTTCCACTGAAATTCTGGAATTTTGGAAGATGAAAAAATTGGAGGAAAATAATTAAAAATGGAAATCTGCCAAAATTCTGTCACACAAAAATTGTTGCAGGTTGCATAATCTAACTTTCCTTCAACACAAAATCATAAAAAACATGAGGCCGCAGTTGCACAAGGGCATGTAACAGGCACAAAACCCTTGCATGTGCAATATGTCACAGGAGAAATGCCTGCAGTACCTTGCAGCAGTACTTACTTCCATCTCAATAATACAAGTTTGACAGCTATCAATATTTTCTTGGATATAATCCATATGTAGTGTGTGTGCTTCCAGCTGATCTTTCAGTTCTTGTATAATACTTTCATCCTCCTCATCTTCCTTGGCCTTGTTGTATTTATTTGTACATTCTTCCAGTTGTTTACTTAATTCATTCCTATTTTTGATCCATCGATCCATGTCTTTCTCTAAGTTTGATATTGTTTGTCTTTGAATCACTAATGCTCCAACCTTCATTCCAAAAAAAAAACAAATTAGAAATAGTTTGTTTCATTGGGTATTTCATTTACCTAGTAGTAAGAATGATTCAGGTGACAGTGTCTATGCCTTCATTTATTTGGGAAGCATGGGTGATGTGCACTGTGGTCATGAGTTCGATCCCTGGACTAGCTCCAATCACCTGAAAGTAGAGTTGCTTGTTTGATTTAAGGGTTTTTTCTCCTTGTTCTCTGATTTTCCTTCCTTCGCCAACTTCTATTTGATCAGTCTAAATTTATGACCTGACATAAATAGATCCTTTTGCCATGGCATAATGTTCTCACATCACAGACTGGCAGGTTTCATTCCCTAGAGTATTATTTCTTTGTTTACCAGTTTCACATCAGGAGAGACATGAATTTGTATACAACCTAAACAGAGAATCTTATTTTTGAGGTGATGATATGTGGTCTGAAATTGGAAATATCTCACCCAAACGATTTCAAGGCTTGTTCTAGTCAGTAATACTATGTTGTTTTTATTTACCTTTCTTTCAATGTGATCCCATTTCTTCTTGGCCATTTTAATGGCCTGTTCAATAGTAACCCTCTTTCTCTTCTCCCTGGCAGCCAGACCAATCCTGGGTGGTCCACCATAGGGTTTATTATAAACAGATGACCCTCGGTAACCATATGTCCCATATCCTGATGGTTCATTTTCTGCTTGGGGTTCATTGCCATTGACAGGTTGGCTTGTAACTTGGTTCTTCTTAGCTCCAAGGGCACCAGATACAGGTTTCTGTTGTCTTCTTAATGCTTTGACCTACGAAACAAAGACAGGATACCAGATTATGAATGTATTATGCATTAATAAGTGGCATCCACTGCTATGACATTGTCTCTCACAGACAGTTCAAGCCTTGACTAAGTTGCATATGTGAGTTTAGTTTGTTTGATGTATTGTTCTCTTCCTTGCCACAAGGGTTTTCCCCCTGGTAATTCAGTCTTCCTCCTTCAGTATAAACAGTTTCATATAAACCAACATGTGAGTTGCATGTTGTATCTTGTAAATATAAAAAGTAGTGGTAGTGTGTGTGGAGCAAACCTCATGGAGTGATGGTCGTAAAATATAAATCAATAATATATGCCGCACATTGAAAGTATGAGCAAATTCAATGTTGCTGTTGCACCACTTACCTCGTCCTGTTTTCTCTTCAGAATCAACTCTTTCTGTCTCTTCTCAGTCTCTAGGTTCCTGATGGCTATCTCACGCATGCGTGATACTTTCTTCAGTTGTGCTATCTCTTTATTCTTTGCCATTTCATGTTGTTTACTCTTGGCCACTTCATCCTTCATTTGTTTCATTAATCTTGCTTTCACTTTCTTCATTTCATTCAATTCATTTGTGTAGATTTTTAACTGCTGTTCATTACGAGCCTAAATGATATGACATCAATTAGAATATATACCAACAACTAGCTATCAACACCCTACTGACAACCAACCAACACCCTACTGACAATCTACCAACACCCTACTGACAATCTACCAACACCCTACTGACAA